TGTTGGCCAGGTGGGTCTTGAACTCCTGACCTCAGGTGATCCGCCTGCCTCAGCCTCCCAAAGTGCTAGGATTACAGGCACGAGCCACCGCACCCGGTCGACACCTTCTTAATAACAGTGTGTCTTTGTTAACATAAACCACAGTTGATAAAATCACTGTCTGTTTATTTCATTTTCCCTATACAAGAAGAACCTGAAAATGAAGCTTCTGTTAAACCACTTAATCATCACCCCATTATCTTTAGGTCTTGGGCTTAACTGTCACCTCCTTGACAAAGTGATCTCTGGCTACTCTCTTATAATATGATCACTTCATATTATAATTTTTTAATCATAGCACTCCGATTCTTCTTTCATGACATTTATTACATGGGTGCAGTTATAATTATATGCATATGTGTCTAATTATCTGCCTTCCTCACTGCTCTGTGAGCCAGCTGGCTTTCGGTGAATACTTGTGGATGGAATAAGATGAGAAGCATCACTGGGAAGATTTGTGCTATGGTGTGAATGTAGGCGTCTCCTCAAAATTTAGCCAGGCAGCAGTGGCTTGCACCTGTATTTTTTTTTTTTAATAATTTAAATAATTTCTTATTTTTGAGGTAAAATATGAGCAACTACCAGGAAATTGTTTTGATCAGATTTTTCCTTAAATAGAGGAAAAGGAGGGGAGTAGGAGAGAACAAAAGTGTCAGTTTATCTTTAGCAAAACAAGCCGTTGGCAAAAAATTGGCTTCAGTAAGGGGACAGTGGCCAAGGACCCCCTCCCCACACAGTAAGTTGGATGGTCTAACCTAGATGGTGTAGTTTAGTAAAGAAGGAGGTGGGTAGGAGGAAAGAAAACCTGGAAGCTGTACTTGTAAACTGAAGGGTATAAATTGATTGTGTCGTTATGGTCATTAAAGAGCAATTGCAGGAATAGGCCCAGTTTTCTTGGGCTGGTATTTGCATGAGTGTGAGTGTTGATACTTCCCATTTCATGAATGAGATGGGCAACAATGAAGGGTGACCAAGGCATCATCTTAGGTACCTAATCACTCCAGTTCTTCCCTAGTCTTCACAGGAGACCCTCATTGAATGGCTTTGAAGAGTGTGAATTCTCAAATTATCAACCACAGTCTGAGTGTCTCAGAGGGGAAGGTGCATAGTCTCTTTTTGTCAGGAATCTTTAAAAACAGAATCAGGGCCTTTCAAGGGCTTTCTAGAAGTTTAAAAATGAACACAATTTGAATCATTTTTCAGATCGTTTGAATCCTTGCAAATCATTTGAATTTGAGCTTTTTTCCCCCTAACAATGGCAGTTGGATATGTTACAGGGCATATGTTTATTTTATTTTTTATTTTTGCCTTTAAAAGAGATGTTTATTCATCATGCATATGAATCCAAGTGTTTGGGTGGATATAACAGAACCAAATGTAACAGAAATTTAAGATCATCTTTCCCTCTAAGATGAAAAATATATGATATTTTACTGGATAAAATTACTAAACATTTTTAGACCCTGAGGTTGTATATTTTATGATGTTGGCTGCTGCATAGTTGCCATGATTGCTTTTTCAAATTGTTAATTTCTTTCTTTTTAAAAATGTCCATTTTTATTTTACATTCAGGGATTACATATGCAGATTTGTTACATGGGTATATTGCATGGTGATGAGGTTGGGCTTCTATTGATCCTGTCACCCAGATAGTGAACATAGTACCTAATAGGATGTTTTCCAGAAGGGCATATGTTTAATAAGATACCACAGGGCAACAAAAAAGGAGGAAGATGTGGCTCCTGCCCACAAGGAATTTGCATTCTAATTAGAGTATGACAGTATAGCCCAGATTCTGTTTCAGATGTGCCAGTTCATGTGCATTTTCCATTTTAGATTTCTGAAACAGAAACTTCTTGTTCTTTAAAGTTCTTGTTCTTCACAAGTTGTTTTATACTAAGGAAAGAAAAAAAAACACACACACACAGAACATTGGGTTCAGATCTCTCCAGAAATGAGAGTACTGCATTATATGAAGAAATAGAAAGAGAAGAATATTATGAGTTTGCATGCACCTTTTATCTTTAGACCAGGGTTTCTCAACTTTGGCACTATTGGCTTTTGGATCAGAATGGTTTTCTTCTGGGAGCCCATCCTGTGCATTGTAGGATGTTTAGCAGCATCTCTGACCTCTAACCACTAGATGTCACTAGCACGCTCTCCCAGTTTTGCCATCTGAAAATGTCTCCAGACATTGCCAAATGTTTTTGGGGGACTGAATTGTTCTCTCTGTTGAAAACCACTGATTTAGGCACTCTCAGGAGAGCTCTTTGTCTGTATTGCTGGAGCACTTTTATAAATAAAACAAAACAAAACACTAAGACACGAAGGTTAAGATACTGATTTACGGTCAGGCACAGTGGTTCACGCCTGTAATCCCAGCACTTTGGGAGGCCGAGGTGGGTGGATCACTTGAGACCAGGAGTTCAAGTCCAGCCTGGCCAACATGGCGAAACCCCATCTCTACTAAAAATACACAAAAGTTAGCTGGGTGTGGTGGCATGCGCCTGTAATCCCAGTTACTCAGGAGGCTGAGGCAGGAGAATCGCTTGAACCCAAGAGGCAGAGGTTGCAGTGAGCCAAGATCATGCCACTGCACTCCAGCCTGGGAGACAGAGCAAGACTCCATCTAAAAAAAAAAAAAAAAAAAGAGATTGACTTCCAGCTTTCAGTAATTACCGAAGGAAGAGGATTATCTGCTCTGTCAGAGTAAACCAGGGGCAGGTTTCTGCTTTTTATGGAAATAGGATGATGATGCTGCCACTGACGGGGGATTTGACAGAGTAACAAAACAACTACCTTAGTCTCATCCTTTTTTTTTTTTTTTTTTTTTTGAGACAGTCTTACTCTGTCACTCAGGCTGGAGTGTAGTGGCGCAATCTCGTCTCACTGCAACCTCCATCTCCCGGGTTCAAGCGATTCTCCTGCCTCAGCCTCCCGAGTAGCTGGGACTACAGGAGCGTGCCACCATACCCGGCTAATTTTTTTTGTATTTTTTATACAGACGGGGTTTCACCATGTCTTGATCTCCTGACCTCGTGATCTGCCAAAGTGCTGGGATTACAGGCGTGAGCCACCGCGCCCGGCCAGTCTCATCCTTATTCTCAGTGGTAGGGCGAGATGCAGAGGGTCATTGGTAATGATTTCTCTCAATTCATGTTTCTCCTAGTTTTCCTGTTGTTCTTGATTCTACCCATCCATGGTACTTCTAAAGGACAGGGAACTGGATCACCCCAAACTGATACACATTGGTTCTGCTCATCACACATGGGGGTCTCAACAGGCCGATCTGTGTTATCAGCAAGTCTGCTGATACTTATCAGGGACTTGCTACAGAGACCTGGTGCTTGACTCTGGAGGACAATCAGCATCAGCAATGTCTTCAGTGCCTGTGGGGGATGAATTGTATGTGTACACCTTAATAGATAATCTCCACATCCCTGTGACACACTGCGACCCCCAGGGACCTTAGCAATGCCGATGTTCTACCCAGGTTTTACAGGATGGCTGCCTGGTCCTCAGAGTTTGCTTACATAGGAGGTGAACTCAACTCAGCATGCACAGTTATGTGGGGCGAGCATCTTACAGGATGCAGGCTATGCAAGCCTTGATTTCTACCAGCCAACCAATTAAACACTGACAATACTGATTGAATGTTTCCTTTCGCAAAGTTCTCCCATTTCCTTTTTTGAAAATAAATCTGTTATTGAAGATTGAATTAATTTGTCTTTGTATTTAAAGCCACTTTGGGGAGTTGGGGCTTGGGAAATTCTCAATGAAGAAAAGAAACTCATTTATGAATACCCTATTTCCACATGGCACTAAACTCCATGCATTATGCTGTGATCACAGCACAGATTGCACTTGGTTTAGGTGAGCTTAGTAGGCAGACTGAGATGTGTTGGTTTTGCAAGATGCCAAAATACTATTCCTCTGCCAGGTGCTCTCTGACCTATCTTTATCCTCTACTTTTGTCTATCGATTAAACCCCTAAGTGGCTGTATTGGTCAGGGTTCTCCAGAAGCAGAATCAATAAGGTATATAGATAAAGAGATAGATGAGCCGGAATTTATTAGTGGCAATTGCTCACACGATTATAGAGGCTGAGAAGTTCCATCTGCAAGCCAGAGACCCTGAGATACTGGTAGTATGGGACAGTCCAAGGCAAAGGCCTCAGAACCAGGGAAGCTGATGGTATACCTATCAGTCTGAGGCCAAATGCCTGAGAACTCAGAGAGGTGCTGGTGTTAGTTCTGGAGTCCAAAGGCTGGGAAGCCTGTAGCTGTTACCCAAGGACAGGAGCAGAAGAGTGTATCCAAGATCCAGCAGATAGATGGGCACATTCAGTTTTTCCATGTTTTTGTTCTCTCTGGGCCCCCAGCAGTTTGGATGATACCTGCCCACATTGAGGGCGAATCTTTCCCACCTGGTCCACTCAGAATTACATGCTGGTCTCCTCTGTAAACACCCCCAGAGACACACCCCAAAATAATGCTTTACCAGGTTTCTAGGTATTCTTTAATCTAGTCAAGTCAACACCTAAAAGTAACTATCACAGTGGCTAATTCCTAAGGCTTTTAGTTTCCATTAGCCCTGACAGGTTCTCCAGAAGTACAGTAGACAGGCTTTGTTTTCTTTTTTTCTTTTGAGACATGGTTTGGGTCTGTCGCCCAGGCTGGAGTGCAGTGGTGCTCACAACAGCCTTGACCTCCTGGGCTCAAGCAATCCTCCCACTTTAGCCTCCCTGGTAGCTAGGACTACAGGTGTGTACCACCATGCCTGGATAATTTTTTTTGTATATTTTGTAGAGACAGGGTTTCACCGTGTTTCCTAGGCTGGTCTCGAACTCCTGGCCTCAAGTGATCCACCCGCCTTACCCTCCCAAAGTGCTGGGATTATAGGAGTGAGCCACCACACTCGGTCCAACAGTCTTGATAATAGCCTGACCTGCTTTCTCCTAGTGCATCCACTCTGGGAGAGCGTGGACCTGGTTCCCGGGGGTGATCGACAGTCACCCATCAACATTCGGTGGAGGGACAGTGTTTATGATCCCGGCTTAAAACCGCTCACCATCTCTTATGACCCAGCCACCTGCCTCCACATCTGGAATAATGGGTACTCTTTCCTCGTGGAATTTGAAGATTCTACAGATAAATCAGGTGAGGGCAAGATCTGGTGGTCTTGTAAGGAGTTAAAGAAACAGTGTCATGTTAACACGGACACATCAAATTCTCGCCATGACAGTATTGACCTCTTTGTTAGCAATGGCAAGGAACTCATTGATCTTAACTTTTTGAATGTGTGAAAAAAATTCCTTCTAGTTTTTATGCGTATTTTCTTCAACTAGTATAGGTAGTATTTTTAATTAATAAATTTCTCTCTCTCTCTATGTATAGATTTACAATTGGTATAGAGCATAGGTGTGAAATGGAAGTTTTGCCAGAAATTTATTTTGTATGTGTATATTGAATATGTACTAATTTTTTCCTTTGCTTGTTGACTTTACGAGAACTTTTACATTTAACAGTAATACTGTTTAATCAGATTTAATTTAGCAGATTACAATACACTTGAAATGGGGCCAAAAGAATAGTCATGTGTGCATTAGGTTGCAAAGACTAGTCATATATTAGAGAAATGGAAATTATGATCTGGTAATTTTGTTAAATAAACAGTGTTACCTACCTAGTTTAAAAGAACACTTTAAAAGAGTTTTTCGGGGCCGGGTGCGGTGGCTCAAGCCTGTAATCCCAGCACTCTGGGAGGCCGAGACGGGTGGATCACGAGGTCAGGAGATCGAGACCATCCTGGCTAACACGGTGAAACCCCATCTCTACTAAAAAACACAAAAAACCAGCCGGGCGAGGTGGCGGGCGCCTGTAGTCCCAGCTACTTGGGAGGCTGAGGCAGGAGAATGGCGTAAACCCAGGAGCCGGAGCTTGCAGTGAGCCGAGATCCGGCCACTGCACTCCAGCCTGGACGACAGAGCGAGACTCCGTCTCAAAAAAAGAGAAAAAAAAAAGAGTTTTTCAAATTCAAATATTATGTTGATTTTGAATCTTTCTTTAACCTTCCTGGATATAAACTAATGTGAATGATTTCAAAGTTTACCTGAAACTTCTTAGTGTCTGTGGAAGATAGAAGGTGGCTAATTTTGTGAAGATTTATTTTCCCTTTTTTTGTTGTTGTTTGCGTGTTTGTTTTACTGCATTTGATGATGTCAAATAGTCCAAATTAGTCTCAAAATAATTATTATTTGAAATAGTTTAAAGTAGTCATCAACCAGTGGTAATTTTGCCAACTTTCCCCCATACCCCTCCATATCCCTCACTCCCCACTGCAGGATCCAAAGGCGTTTTTGGTTGTCACAACTTGGGAAACAAAATTGGCGTCTAGTGTGTCAAAGTCAGGGATGCCGCTAAAGATCCTGCAGGGCACCAGATAACCTTAACGAAGAGTTATCTAGCCTCCAGTATCAATAGAGCTAAAACTGAGAAATCTTGATCTCAAGGAAACTTGTTTTCTCTCATGAATGTTAGGAAATGAGTCCATAAAAATGATAATGAGGCCAGGAGCGGTGGCTCACGCCTGTAATCTCAGCACTTTGGGAGGTCGAGGTGGGCGGATTGCCTGAGCTCAGGAGTTCGAGATCACCCTGGGCAACATGGTGAAACCCCGTCTTTACTGAAATACAAAACATTAGCCAGGTGTAGTGGCGCATGCCTGTAATCCCAGCTACTTGGGAGGCTGAGACAGGAGAATTACTTGAACCCGGTAGGCGGAGTTTGCAGTGAGCCAAGATCGCACCACTGCACACCAGCCTGGTGTTAGAGTGAGACTCTGTCTTTAAAAAAAAAAAAAAAAGTAAATATTCACTCTTGCATTTATTCTGGCTCTGAGTCTCAATTGTGTCTTTATTTTCTTTGTATTTTGCTAGTGGTGCTCTGATACTTAGACCTGGCACTCTGGCCCAACTACAAACAGACTGCTCCTCCAATGGGCTTAATCTGTCTCTGGTTTTCTCCCTTCTGATGTATTTCTCTGCTATGATTCAGAAGGTATTTGAGTCTGTCTTTAAGAGTTTAGGTGTCTCCATGTCCCCAACTTTCCTTTCTTCTCCATGGTATGACACAGCCCCCAAACCATGAACATCTTACTTTCATATCTCAAAGTAGGAAATTCTTTTTCCTCCCAGATTCATGGGCATCTTTCTTCCCCCCTTTTTTTGCATAAAGTTATTTATTTAAATTTTATATCTGTGAATTCACAGGTTGATGTGTTTCATTATATTGTTTCTAACTCTCTTAAAGTAACTTACTATATAAGTAAAAGCTTCTTGTACCACGTAAAACCATCTCGTGTGCCATCAGCGGTATATGTACCATGCTTTGGGAAACATTGTTTAAGGCCATCTGGGTCTGTTGGTGGAACAGCTAGAGAAGGGAGGAATAAAAAAGATAAGAAAGAAAAATGATATTGATGTATGTTCTTTTAAAATATATTTAGTGGGTATAAGTTTAGTTTAGTTTTGTTACATGGATATATTGTGTAGTGGTGAAGTCTGGGCTTTTAGTATACCCATCATCACGCATCTTTCTTAATTTCCCCAAAACTCTAGAGTGTGCCCCCTTCTCAACTGGAAGCCCATAATATTACCTTGTTTATACGGATTCCAGAAATCTTCAAAACAACAAGCTAAATTCCTGTATTTTGGATGACTATCTGGCACTCTGGTGAGCTCTACTTGTCCCCTTGCGGCTCTACCATTATCCCTGCCAGATGTAAACTAATGGGCAGACCCAGTCTATAGGATACCAACTCTGATCCATTTACTCTGCATGCATAGCAATCCTTTTGAATTCTCAACCCCATCTAGGGCCCTAGCAGCCTGCTTTCTTCTGGGGATCCTTTGTATTGGTCAGCTTTCTAAAGCCCTTGACAGTATAGGGACTCTCTGTTGCCAATATATCATTGCTTCGTTGAGTTGGAAGTCTTAGAAAGTTGCTTAATGAGTTTCTTAACCAAGTGACTTGAGCCCAAGAACTTTTAGAGCAAATAGCTATTTTATTTTTTAGTCCTGTCTTTTTCTTTTGAACAACAGATTCTAGAATTCTTTTTTTTTTTTTTTTTTTGAGGCAGGGTCTCACTCTGTTGCCCAGGCTGGTGTGCAGTGGCATGATCGCAGCTCACTGCAGCCTCAAGCAATCCTCCCACCTCAGTCTCCTGAGTAGCTGGGACTACAAGCATGGACTACATGTGCCACCACGCTTGGCTAATTTTTTTGTTTGTTTGTTTTTGTTTTTGAGATGGAGTTTTGCTCTTGTTGCCCAGGTTGGAGTGCAGTGGCGTGATCTCGGCTCACTGCAACCTCTGCCTCCCGAGTTCAAGTGATTCTCCCACCTCAGCCTCCTGAGTAGCTGGGATTACAGGCGCCTGCCGCTACACCCTGCTAATTTTTGGTATTTGTAGTAGAGACAGGGTTTCACCATGTTGGCCAGGCTGGTCTCAAACTCCTGACCTCAGGTGATCCACCCCCCGGCCTCCCAAAGTGCTGGGATTATAGGCGTGAGCCACTGCACCTGGCCTTTTTTTTTTTTTTTTTTTTTGAGATGGTGTCTGACTCTGTCGCCCAGGCTGGAGTGCAGTGGTGTGATCTTGGCTCACTGCCACCTTCACCTCCTGGGTTCAAGCAATTCTCCCACCTCAGCCTCCTGAGTAGCTGGGATTACAGGCACATGCCATGATGCCCGGCTAATTTTTGTATTTTAGTAGAGACGGGTTTCACCATGTTGGCCAGGCTGGTCTCAAACTCCTGACCTCAAGTGATCTGCCCACCTTGGCCTCCCAAAGTGCTGAGATTATAGGCGTGAGCCACTGTGCCTGGCCCCGGCTAATTTTTGTATTTTTTGTAGAGATGGAGTTTCACGGTGTTGCCCAGACTGGTCTTGGATTCCTGAGATCAAGTGATCCTCCCACCTCGGCCTCCCAAAGTGCTTGGATTACAGGTGTGAGCCACCAATCCAGGCCTCAAGAATTCTTATCTACCCATTTGCATGAGTAATCTGAGATGGCAAGTCATCCACGTTTTCGTCATAATAGCTTCTTTTTAGATACCTACAAACCCAACCGACTAATTCACCCCTTGACTATGTCTTCCCTAGGTGTGTCAATCACACACTTACAAAATATGCAAGAAAAATTGTAGAGAGTTTGCTAATATTTTTCTTGTTTGGTTGGAAAGAACTAAAACTGATAGCCCTTTTAAATTATGCTTTAATAATTATTTTCTTTAAGATAGCATCAATTTTTAGTAATTGCCTAACTTTCTCTCTCTCTCTCTCTCTCTCTCTCCACCTTTCAGTGACTGCCTTTTATTTCCTGCTTATTGTTCATTGCTATTTCTCCATGTTGTTGCAAATCAATAGCATGCAAAGAGGAAAAAAAGAGTGAATGAACATAAAAAATAAAAAGTGAAAGAAAGCAAAGACATTCTAGAAACAAAGAAAGGCAAGAAACAATCTAGAAAAGTAAAAACCTAATAAATATTGATGTCTATAAATTTCAAAGAAAAAACCCTAAGAGATGCTGCCACAGTGTGCTTTATGAGGATTGGAATAAAGTGCAAGGAAAAGGAGCTGGGGAAGGTATGTGACAAAAACATCATACCAGTCCTTTTGGGATGCAGCTAAAGCGGTGCTTAGAGGGAAATTTATAGATGAAAATGCCTATAATAGAGAAGAACTTTCTCAAGTCAGTATCTCAGCTTTCCACCTTAAGAAACTAGAAAAAGAAGAACAAACTAAACCCAAAAGCAAGTAGAGAGAAGGACATAATAAAGAACGAGCAGAGATCAATGAAATCAAAAGTTGGTTCTTTGGGAAGATCAACAAAGTTGACAAACTTTTAATTGGGGGAGACCAAGAGAAAAATAAAAGACAGAAGACTCAAATTACTAAACTCTGGAATGAAAAAGAGGACAACATGACCTACCTTAATAGGATTATAAGAGAAGGTATGTGAACATCTCATACCGCAGTCCTCTGCTGGGCGTTATTTAGTATTTGGTTCCCCTGAGTAGGACACTGTTACTGATTTGAATGAGTGCATATAAGAGAGTCGAAATACTGTTGGGAAGGGCACTAAATTATCCCTGGATGATCCCTGTCAATTATCGTGTCCTCTGGAATTCCTCTTATTGGCACTGTCAACAGGCATTAAAGAGATGGAGAGGTGAGTGCCTTTGTTCTCCTCCTCAGGGTGCTTCCTGCTCCATCCTGCTTCATCCTGCTTCCCTGACTTTACACTCCTCTGGGGCAGTGCCAGTGAACCTAGTAAGAATGCTTTCACAAACATTTTAAGTTCTCCTTCCCTGTTTTGGTCCTACATTTACTTTAAAACACATGTACACAGTTTAAAACACACATACACAGTTTAAAACACATGTACGCAGTTTAAAACACACATACAGTTGAATGATTTTTAAAGGAAATTTACAAGAGTTGTGCAACCATCACTATAATCTAATTTTAAAACATTTCCATCACCCCAGAAGCATTCCTCGTGTCCATTTCCTGCATTTGCTTTTATCTGTATGGGTTCTATGTATTTCCTTTCTCTTCACCATCTCTTTCTGTGTCAGCTCCTTCTCTTTCACGTTGAAAAGCAAAAGGAGGGAGTGAATATTACAGATTGCTTACTACCAGCCAGACTCTCTGCTGAATGTTTTATATTTGTCATGTAATTTTTTACAAGTTTAATCCTTTCTCAGAGCATGGAAAGAATAAAATACCAGGCCAAGCATGGTGGCTCATGCCTGTAATCCCAGTGCTTTGGGAGGCCGAAGTGGGTGGATCACTTGAGGTCAGGAGTTCGAGACCAGCATGACCAACATGGTGAAACCCCTTCTCTACCAAAATGCAAAAATCAGTCGGGCATGGTGGCACACATCTGTAATTCCAGCTTCTTAGGGAGGCTGAGGCAGGAGAATTGCTTGAACCTGGGAGTTGGAGGTTGCAGTGTGGCGAGATTGTGCCACTGCACTCCAGCCTGGGCAACAGAGTGAGACTCTGTCTCAAAAAAATAAAAAAATAAAAGAAGAAAATATCAACCTCAAATACATAAGTATATATTTATTTGTTATGTGTTACGACTGCTCTGCTTTCCAATTCACTATCTTCTGTCTACCTGCCCCATTTCTTTGTTTCTTTCCTTTTTTTCTGTAGAGACTGGGTCTCACTATGTTTTTCAGGCTGGTCTCAAACTCCTGGCCTCAAGTGATCCTCCCACCTTGGCCTCCCAGAGTGCTAGGATTATAGGTGTGAGCCACTGCTGGGCCTGCCCCATTTCTTGATGACTATATTTCCTTATTTCCTGCATTCATCTGCCCCACCCAACCCCACCTTTTTCCTTTAATCTTTCTGAGGTTACCAGTGACATCCCAATTAACTAGCCTGACAGCTGCTTGACAGCTGGGATTACAGGCATGAGCCACTGCGCCCGGCCAAAAACGTCTTATCTGGGTCAGGTGCAGTGGTGCAACCGCCTGTAATCCCAGCACTTTGGGAGGCTGAGATGGGTGGATCTCTTGAGCTTAGGAGTTCGAGACAAGCCTGAGCAACATGGCAAAAC